TCCTCCTCCTTCTCCTTCTCCTTCTCCTTCTCCTTCTCCTTCTTCTTCTTTGTACTAATAATAGTATTAGTAGTACCAGGGATTAAACTCAGGACCTTGCTCCAGGGGCTTATGCCACTGAGCTAACTCCTTAGTTCTTGTCATTATTTTTAATTCTTCATTGAACATCGTACTGGCAAGGCTACTCTGGACAAAAGCATTACAAATCCTTTTTAATTTTAACATGTCTGTTATGTGGAAAATATCATAAGCGGTTTGATGAAGACTATGCTTATAAGCAACATAAAAATGAAATTGGTTGATATACAAACAAAAAAGACAAAGCCTAAGGGAGAAACTCCTTATTTCACAGAGTGGGTGAAAATATTGCTATTGGCTTTCTTTAGACCCAGTGGCCAGACGCTTGAAGATTGTGTGCCAAGACAGTGGGAAAGGAGGTGGGCTGCACAGAGTCAGGGTGTTTCCCTCACTGAGAACATTGATGAATGATGAAAACCTTTTCCTCTCAGTTTCTTTAAAGGAGTGAAGTCTAAGTGTACTAACATGGTTGATCTGTAACTGTTCCTGCAGTTTAGAGTCTATGCACCCATTTTTTGTCAGCTTCACATTCAATCTTTAGGTCTTTTCCCACCTTCCAAAATTAGTAATCTGTTAAAATGAACTTTAACATTGACATTCATACCCATTTGACTTTGTAACCTGTACTGTTGAATGTTTACTACCATCGATAAAAAATTCAATATTTTTCCTAATTGAGGGAGAAAATGCTGTTTTTATTTTTAATATTCTTGGGCACTCTAGAATTCTTTGCCTCAGGAAAATACATAATCAATAAATACTGATGTGAACTATGGGCAATTTGACTAAATTCTCACAAAATGAACATCATTAAATCTATTAGTGGAACAAATCACACATGATAAAGCATTAAATATTTATAACATTTAATATTTATAATTGGTTCATATTTTTCATTTTTACATGGAGAAGATTCTATTAGTTGTCTGTGAACTTGTCAGATAAACCACCTCGTTTTAATATTTTAATTTATCACATAATCTATGACTTGGATGATAAGAACAATGTGTTGTGATCTTCTTTGCTATCAATTTACAACTTTTTTCTACTTAGCTCAATCAGACAATCCAGAAAGGTCAGTTTTCAAGGAAAAGAAATAGGATAGGTGGCAGTATGATCTTTTACTGCAGTAGTCTCCAAACATCCTTGATTATGTAGTCTTATGGGTAAGAGATTTTATACACGAATAGCCAAAGTATATAGTGTATGCTAATAAATTATTTATCCATAACATTACTGAACTAATAATGCACATTATGAAACTTTTACAACTTTAGAAACAATAAAGGCTAAATTATAGAACAAGTAGTGATTTTATCATCTATTTTAATAATAATATTTTCAGGGTCATAATCTCACTAAATGGAATTTATAATTTTTAAAGGACTGTCCTAAAATCATTCAAAAGTCTGACTCTACATTTAATTTCAATATTTAATTTTAAGTAGTGAAAAAAGTTTTCAGATACCTGTAATTTCAGATATATGAAATTTATCATTGGTGGAACTTAATAAATCATACTAAGTTGTCAGTTACATTCACTGTACAAAGATTGTTGAAAAAAAATAAAAGAAAAATAAAAAGGGGGCTCAGGAGATGGCTCAGTGGAATAAGCGCTTCCCTGGCAAGGGCAAGGGCCTGAGTTCAATTCCCGGTTCCGCAAAAAAAAAAAAAAAAAAAAAAGATTGTTGAAATTCAGCAAGAGGTTTTTCATTTTATCTCATGTCAATTGTTTATCCTTGCAAGCCAAATAAATATTGTATGTATATAATATAGATTATACATACATATGAATGTTTTATATATGTTAAATATATTTATTAAGGAAATACATTCAAAATCTACTAAGCATGTGGTTAATTCTTCCTCTTAAATTATTATGCATGCAGGCCTAAGACTTATAAATAACATACTTTGTATCATTTTCAATAAAACAAATAAATACCTGATCAACCAATGACGGATACAATACATTACTAAACATACTTTTGAAGTTTTCTCTTCATAGTGTTATTTTTCAAAAGCTATTAATTTCTCATATTTATACCCCGAAGGAACAGGTGTTTTCTGTGTGTGTGTGCATGACATGTACAGGATTTATTATTTTCTAGGAACCGCCATCACTGGCTGGCGTGGCTTCACCTAGTGAAAAAGCTACAACTGAGAGACGGAGAGGGGTCAGTTTTCCCATTATCTTTCTGTGCATTGACTCACTCATTACTATGTTTGGATAATAGGGTTATTTTCAAATGTCATGCCTGTGAGTTTGTTTTTGCAACATTCCTCTCAGTCCCTAGGCAGTTCTGAAAGCTTTAGTTGCCTCTCAGATAACAGGGCCATCACTGAAGCCCAAGCAGAGCTACAGTGTTATGGCTCGATTCCTTCAGCTTATTGTGTGTGGTCTTCTGACATAAAATCAGACAAGGTTTAGTCCATGTATTGACAGCTAACAAGGCTTATCCTTCACTTTTACCCTTAAGTTTATCCTTTATTTTTCTGTTTCTTAAAACAGTTTTTTGTTCCTTTTTTTGTTTTTTGAGAAAATTTCATGTAGGAGTACTTTCCCCTGGCACACCAGTGAACTGTCTGTTCTTTCAGATGCTAGGGTGTACGGTGTACTCTAGAGATGGCTGTGGGCTCACAGTGCCTGGAGCCATGACTTCATCATGTGTCCCTAGAACTTAGAGTAGGAGTCTGTAGAATACACGCTTATTGTTCATTCATTCAACAGATAGTTTAAATTTCTAGTATGCACTAAATTATCTTTTAGGCATTAGAGAATAGTCAATATATGTTAAATGGATACAACCAAGATGAATTTTACCTCAAAACCCTGATGGAGTAAGTGATGTAATAGGATTGATTTCTATTTACTGACCTTTTCTCTTTCCGAGTCCTTTTTGTTTATGGAAATATTGTTCCCTTTCTGTCAGGTATCAGAATACAATGGTGTCACAAAGCAGAGTTCCTGGGAGCATGAGGCTTACACCCAATGGCGCAAGACAGATATTAAAACAATCACTCACAAAGAAGTAAAGCCACAAATGCTTTAAGTGCCACAATATAGGAT